GGAGTGAAGAAATGTCATCCAATAAAAGCCAGGCATCCGGTTTCGTGTTTACCGGTTGGCATATGCTTGGCGTGATGGTTCTGTTCTTCGGCACCATCATCACCGTCAACATGGTGATGGCGTGGAATGCCGTTGCCAGCTGGAGCGGGCTGGTGGTGCCCAATACCTATGTCGCCAGCCAGCAGTTCAACGCCAAGGCCGAAGCCGTCAAGGCAAGGGCTGCGTCCGGCATCAAGGGCAAGCTGGTGGTGGATGAAAACACCGTGCGCTACGAGGTGTTTCATCTCGATACCGGCTGTGTTGATTCGGATACGGTGACAGTGCATTTCCGCCGTCCGGTCGTCGATTTTTTGAGTTGGGGGGGGGGGGCGGTGGGGACCTTGGGAGAATGTGTTGGAGGGATCCGACTGAAGAGGAGGCGGTGGGTGTGTAGTGCGGGTAGGAGGGGTGCGTGTTTGGGGAGATGGGGGATCGGGGGGGGGCGGGTGGATGGGGGCAGCGCCTCGGGGGGAGCGGGGGGTGAGGAGGGCTGGCGACATCCGAGGAAACGGAACAGACGCAAGACATCGCGCAGGGCGAGAGAGTATGATCGAGGTCGGGAATAGTGCCGGCGCTAAGTGTGGGGAGCATGATTTGCGTGTGAAGTACAACTTAAAGACATGATTTGCGTGTGCAGTACGTCCTCAAGCTGCCTCACGCGTACCTTTTCAACCGGCTGCGCCCCCCGGCCGTCGCTGCCCCCCCGCAGATGAGAAACCCTGAATCCAAATTGATGAGCCCTCTCATCCCGGAGTGGTTCGATCCCACGCGAATCCGAGACGGTGACGGGCGCTGTCTCGGTGATCTCAGGCCCAGTGAGGTAGTGCATCAGACCTGTCCCGGATCCTGCTGACCAAGCTCCTCTTGTAGCTCGATCGGTCACACCGCCATCGCCGTCGGGGAGAGGGGGGACGACACTGCTTCGGCAGCGTGCACCTCGATCCTGTACCGTCTTTGTTATGACCCCCCCCAATGAACACACCAGTGAGGGTGGGCGAGACGATCGAGGGGTCCCGTACCATGCGGAACCGACCCTATCCAGTGCTCAAGTGCTCAAGAGAGATACTCGCCGCCGCTGCCTCGCCCAGCAATGTCCCCGCCCCCGTCTACCACAATTCCCCAGCCTTCAAACGTACAAAGGGGGCGGTGATGGCCTTACTGGCCGCTGAGGACGCCGGTGCATGCCGTGTAGGCAAGAGACAGCTGGCACGACAAGGGCGCGGACTGGCGCGGACTGGCACAAAAAAAATAAGAGAAAAAGGGGGCACCGCGGGCACGTGGCGGGGAGGATGCCAGCACTGTAGGCATGCGTATGGCGGTGCACGCGCGAAGGCGAACCGATGCTGCCGGTATTGGAGCCGGCGCGAGATCGTGGAAGATCCTGGGGTCACGTACTGAAAGAGAGAGCCCGAATCACTTTGAGTGTGATATCTGTGGTGAAAAAATCTCTCGCTTGCTCGAGTGTGCTCGCCAGAATTCTTTCTTTCCGCATAGCAAATTCTTTTGCAAAAAAAGAAAGAAAACAGACACCCAAACGAGGGATGGGGGAGGAGGACAGGGTCCCCAGACCCCACCTGCACGAGCAGGATTTTGGAAGGACGATCAGGGGGACAGGTGGGGCTCTCCTGCTCCTGACAAGGGACACGACAGGCTCGCAGCGCGGTGCACGGTGGACTCCCAACTCCACTGGCGGTCTCCATCTCAGTATCCTAGCGACCTGCCTCCAGCTTCTCGCTGGCAGTCTCTCGCTACCACAGGCACACTGACAGGGGTGGCAGGGGCGGCGGCAGGAGTCTCCCACATACTATGCGGGCCTCGCTAGAGGTGCGTCCTGTGTGTATCCTCGTCCTTGAGGTCTTGAGGGGT